GAACATTAAAAAGACAATGTTAGTAATATTTCAATGGTAAGACAAGTTGATGTCTGGCTACCAAGAAATGTTTAATTGAAAAATAAATAACAGCAGGCAGTTACAGTACATACATGTTAAAACATTTATAATGTATTATTTTTTCCTCTCTAAATAGAGTAACGTAAATTTAGTGCCCATGAGTCCCACGTCTCCTGTAGAGTCCCGGAATGGAGTCTCCTGAAAATACGGCAGGAAAGACCATTAAGCACGAATCTCCTGAAATAAACCATCTCCCTCAAATTTATGATGATATTTGCATGCTTTTACAAGTTTTTACTACTGTATTATCAATTTTCTCTCAAGAGTTAGTGCCAATCATAATGGTTATCACCATGTACAGCAATATATATTTAGATGAAAACTCATTTAAACAGATCACCCGGATGTAGATTCTTCGAAATTGGGATTCCTAAAAAAAAATTGTGATTATAATCCCACTAGATGGATGGAAATTGCACTCCCAGACTTATATAATATAATTTTCTTTATAGGCCCTATGTCCATTTTGTTTTTTTTAATTTTGAACAATTTGGGGGTGGGGGTGACGGGTCGGCTGGGCCCTTCTTGAATCTGCCACTGGGCCTATTGTTCATTTTTTTTTTGCTTTATCATATTTTTGTATATTATGTATGAATGTTTTATCTGCTCCACTAAACGCAGGATCCTTAGTGCACGCAGTGCAGTGCAGATTTGCCTTTTTAGACCTCGTGTTTCTGCTTGATTCCTTATTGTTTTGTTTTACATTTTTCTGTATCGTCGGATGTTAAGTATTTTTGGACATAATTCACACTCTAATCGTACCTCCATGGTCTAATAGTTCACTCAATGTTAATTATTTTGTTGTTGATGACGATCAACCGAACAGAAACAGAAACAATTATGTCCGTTCTTGTAATTCTATCCTAATCCTTTCTGACAGAAGTGGCTAAAATCATGCCAACAGAAACAAGCAAAAACAATCCCAGTGTCTTCCGCGAGGAAGGTGACCGCAATTGTCCCCCAAAATCCTTAACTCATATATGAATTTATAAAAACAGAAAATGCGAGTGATCATTTAATTAGATACGGTCAAGTGTTGCCGTAATGGGGGAGCACTGGTTCACTATGAAAAGGCTCGTGTCTACGGCCTGGATTGAGATTAATGGTCTTTTTTTCAAACAAAATTCAAATAGGTGGGTACTAAACCGGGGTCAGAGACCATAGCACGTATTGACACCCTGTCAGAGCAACTCTGTTGTGTAGCAACCATATTTCTGACACTGCGGCTGCACTTCATTAGATACACAGCAGATTTCCTCGGTGAATGGGCAGTGCCGTCTCTAGACGAGTGCGCGGGAGGCGTTTGATCATGCTAGCCCCACCCCCTCCCATCACGCTCACATCAAATCATCTTATTTTGCAAGAGGCCCCCCCCCCCTTACGTGATCATCGTGTCTCCACTTTATCTTCGCGCCACTGTGAATGGGTGGATTCAATCCAAGTACTACAGCTAAACTGATTTGTTTGAGCAGGTTTTTTGACCGATTTCGACTGAATGGAAGCATCTTCTACATTGTCCTTACCAGCCACAGCATCTAGAGGGTCGTCGATGCGCAATCTTAAAACAAGTTAAATGAAGAAAATATACAGGAAACCAGCTGCTAATCCGATAATAGCAGCACCCCAGCGGCTAACAGAATCGCACCCTACCTGTGAAATAGTGAAATGATGGATGATTGTAATAATTTAACCTATAGTTTTGTTAAAGAAGTACGGAATTTAAATATGAAAAATAAATTTATGGTTTCTTTTGATGTTGAGAGCTTGTTTACAAATATTCCTCTCAAAGAAACTATTGAACTTGCTGTTAATACCATAATATGTCACAACCAAGAGCTAAAAATGTCTAAGGAAAACCTAAGTAAATTACTTTTGCTAGCCACCACGGGAACACATTTTCTGTTTAAAGGTAAATATTTTGAACAAATAGACGGGGTTAGTATGGGATCTCCACTAGCCCCCATCCTAGCGGATCTATTCATGGGAACCAACGAAAAACGATGGCTCTCTGATCCCAAGTGTCCACACTTTCTACATTATCGTAGGTATGTGGATGATACATTTTGTCTATTTAATAACCAAAGTGACGCCACTGAGTTTTTCGAATTTATCAACTCCAGACACCCCAATATATCGTCGCTCACATCACGAAATAACACAATTAAATTCAATTGTGTTAGTTCGTGAAATAAAAAAAGCGCGTCAAAATACGCGCTGTTGTCGTTAAGGACTTTTTGTGTGGTAAAGAATACAAAATTGCTTGACAACCAATACGCGCTCGTTTTGACGCGCTACTGTGATTTCACGAACTAACACAATCTACTTCGATTGTGTTAGTTCGTGATGTGAGCGACGATATGTTTCACGATGGAAAATGAAAATTGCAATAAACTAAGTTTTTTAGACGTTCTTATACATAAAGAAAATGATGGCAAAGTTAAAACAACGATATTCAGAAAAAGTACTTTCACTGGTCTCCTTTT